AAACAGAAAATGGAAGCAAAATAGTAAAAATAAAAACCTGCTCAAAATAAGGTTGACACAGAGTAACTCATATTTTTTGTAGGAATGAACTTTAAGGTTTAAAAAAAGACAGCATTGAACAAATGAACTGCAACAAAAAGAATAAACTTGTCTTGATACAAAGTGTTTGTTAGAGCTCTCAGCTGTCCAGGCTCATGAGGAGAGCTGTTCCTCTCTTGATCCAGTGATGTGGAGTCGCAGCTCCAGATTTGAGTTCAATGCCGACAACAAAAGACGGCTGACCGGCCCGTCCAGCACGCACTGGGAAGTAGTAACACGGACACGAGTATGCACCTGCGTGCACAAACATACAGAGCAGAGTGTGACAGCATGCTGAAACTTCTGGTGGAAAAAGACAAAAAAGTGCCAGACCACTCACTCTTAGACATGTTCTTGCAGTTTTCCACTGGTTTAAAGCAGATGGTGGGAATGGGACAGACCATCTGCATGTGTTTAGCTTCCACCAGACATGAGTTCGCTTTGTCCCAGCCTGCCCCCTCCAGGAACAAACCTTTAATATACACCCCGTCCTGGAGGGGTAAGAAGCAACGAGGAACAGGAACAAGCTCACAAACATGAATGACAAAAGTAACAGACTGTACTTCATGTATAATGAGGTAATCCAACTTTGAAAGACAGGAGAAGGGACGGATGAAAACAAATAAAAATTGAAGGAATGCATATCGCCCGCCACCTTTCCTGACAGTTTTAAAAAAGATCATCGAATGGTGAGAAATTACAGAGTTGGAGCAGTTTTGGTCAAATCTTTTAAACAATATTTGTGCTCTCATCTGATATTTCCCACGAGCTACATTAGTGCTCAAACTGTGTTGAGGATGACTTTCAGCTACTTGTCAGAATCCATGTTTGTGTTAGTTTACTAGTAGTCGTTTTGTGTTTTATTTTTATAATTTTATTTAATGTATTGTGATCCTTGTGTTGAGTTATATCACTTGTCTATCAGTTCTTTGTTTTCCTTTGTCATCACTCACTCATCAGTCAGTCAGCCACGCCCACTCACACCTGTTCCCAGTCTGAACTCAGCCACGCCCACTCACACCTGTTCCCAATGTGAATTCAGCTACGTCCACTCACACCTGTTCCCAGCTTGAATTCAGCCACATCCACTCACACCTGTTCCCAGTCTGAATTCAGCCACACCCACTCACACTTGTTCCCAGTCTGAATTCAGCAACATCCACTCACACTTGTTCCCAGTCTGAATTCAGCAAACATCCACTCACACCTGTTTCAGTCCACGCCTACTCAAATTTGCTCCCAGTTTGAATTCAGCCACGCCCACTCACACCTGTTCCCAGTCTGAACTCAGCCACGCCCACTCACACCTGTTCCCAGTCTGAATTCAGCAACATCCACTCACACTTGTTTCCAGTCTGAATTCAGCAACATCCACTCACACCTGTTTCCAGTCCACG